CATTGAGCCGTAGTCAAGCCGTCAAAGATATTCACTTTGTGGCGGGAGCAAATATGAATCTTGGGATCTCCATTTGTGGGATGCCGATTTACGTGATAGCGCCAGCGCGCGGGATGCTGGACCTCAGATCGAGAACGAGCATGGGGTTTACGCGTGTGAATGACTTTTTCGGCGACTTATTTACCTGGCGTTATCGGAGATATCGCAAACGTGAGTATTTGGCGTGCTGATTTGTGGACCAAGCTGGAACTGTGTCGTATCGAGGCATTGCGACAGTGGTAAGACAGACGGAAATACAACGACGGAGGTAGATACAACATGACGGGTACGTTGGTGGTGCAGTGGTCAGGGCACTCGACTGTGGACTCGTTGGTCTTGTGTTCGCTCCGGTGCCTTGCACCACCGCGTCCCAAATGATGCCTAACCAAGCCATCCGCCTCAGATGGCCCCGGCAGTCGGTCAGGACCCTCGACTGTGGACTTGTCGGTCTTGTGTTCGCTCCGGTGCCTTGCACCACCGCGTCCCACATGATGCCTAACCAAGGCGTCCGCCTCAGATGGCCCCGGCAGTCGGTGAGACGTAGAACACCAACCGATATTTGAGACAACATGACTGACTTGGAATTCCCGGCATGCAATAGAAGGCGCGGTGATACCCGCCCGATAAAGGAGCACAGGTCCTCGTTGGAATGTTTCACGAGCTGCATGCACGCCATATCATAAAAGGCCGGGCTTGTTTTCTGAGCAATGTATTCCAACTTCACTAATCTGCACTGCATGACTGAAAGTGATCCTTAGAGGTTAGTGGCCATTTATCACGCGTCTTCAGCAAGCGACGAGTTAACGCGTTTGTTTTTGCCGCAAAGATTCGGCGACGGAGGGCTTATGTCGTCATGAACTACCAGAGGCAAGCGTCAGTCGTCATGCACAGAGGCAGGGATGTACGCGCAAAGGAGCCCCGGGTCGCTTTCCCAAACTTTTTGACATATCAATATGTGCGTGACTTAATGTTGAGAGGCAATAGTTATAGATGGACACATGTAAAAATGAACGTGCTTTTTCCTCGGAGGTTTTTCCAGAATGATTTTTGAATTGCGCGGCGTGGCCACGTCAAACTTTGCATAGCTGTGGGCATTTGAATAACGAATCTTTTGGTATAAAACATCACATGTACCTTGTAAGGTCGCTGACCTATGGCAGGTCAAACTCAGGCCGTGGCTGTCAGCAAAGGCTATTTCTTGGGAATCGTTGAACCTGATTCGACAACGGAATGCTAAACAAAGCCATCCATCTGTGAATAGTCTTTTAGGCAATAAATATTGGTCATTGAACTGGGGTGAGGTGTGGAGGTCAGGCCGAGCTCAAACTAATTTGCTTTTTAATTGATTGTTTGCCTGAGGGATAGTTTCTGGTACTCGTCATGTCAAATTTATTGATAACAGGGACTGCAGCAGTCATGTTCAATGGACTTCTTAAAGGTCAGAATAGGTCAACAACATGACCCAGGTAAGCGTTTTGTTGTAAGAACATACCGCTTGGCGTAATCCCTGACGCTTATTCAAATGGCAAAATAGCGGCAATGTCGTAGGTTTTTAGTCACCTTGACGTTCCTAAGCTTAAAATGATCACTGACCTTAAATTACAGCTAGTGATATTCTATTTAGAACAAGTATTTAGATTCAAGGCGGTTGCATGAGAAAATCTGGGCGCATTTGGAGCATGATTCTGGAGCTTGATATTGTTGGACTATTTTACTCCAAGGGCATACTCTAGGAACCTCAAAATTCGACAAAAGAGTGCTCTCATACAAGCCAACCCATCATGTAAATTTGGTGTGTCCAGCTTTCTTATTTTTGGAGATCTAACAGAGAGGGGGTAAACTAACCCCCACCCCAGCGAAGGGCATTCAACCGGCCACCTGGGCGTGTGTTGATACTGATATGCAAGTATAGACTGGTATGGGCGATGCTTTGTACTGACCATGATACACTGCGCTGTAAAAATGATTACTCGACAGCCCATCACGGAGTGGCGAGAGGAAGCAGGTACGGGCGGTGAACGCTAAAAGGAAGCAGCTCTCCTTGCCTCTCCCTCCCCACCGTCCTCAACCCTGGAGAAAAACCACATGAACAAGCGCTTAAGAGTGGTCAGCTACATCCCATATCCACAAAATCCAACATAAGCATTATGACGTTGCATGGAAAGAAAAGATGAAGAGATCGCGTTTGTCTCGCAAACCCTTCAGAGGACTCGCTTGTCACCGGAAACAACTTGGCAGATTCCAAGGCAATAGCACGGATTCCACTTGCAATGGAATGTCACGTGCGTAACGTCACGTTCGTCGCGTTCGTAACCTGATATTTTAACTTGATGTTTTACATCGATCCGCCAGTTGTATTCGCCGCTTTTTACGCAGTCTGTCTTATCTTCCTTGCGGTCAAAGGTGTTCATGAATTAGAACGGAATCCAGCAGAACTATTGCAAGCATGATAAGCGCCTGCTGGTCATATCCTTGCCCAAACTTCGGCACGCATCTACGCTTATCAAATTTTAGCTGACTGCCGTGGACACGCTAAAATGCGATCGAAAACCTGTGACGTTATTTTGCGGCACGCAAAATATTGCGGACCTGTCGGTCTGCTGGTCCTGCCCCACCTGTCTGACGTTTCACAAGCGGCTTCTCGCTCATTTTTGGTTTTCTTCTTATTTATTTAAGAGTGGCTGCCTCACCACAGAAGGGCTCGCCCCCACAAAATGCACGGATGCAGTGCTGCTCCGATATGTGCCTGAACCTGATCCTTTTGACCTGCCTGAACCTTCACAGACCTGATCAGGCGTGAGCTGCCGGTAAATCAGGGTTTTCGCTGGGAGGAGGGGGGTGGGGGGGGGGACGGTTTGCTGGGATTTGGTCGACACTGGTGATAATGATCCCATCCCCAGTTAACATGGTGAAAAAGGCCCTTATAGATAAAATGGGGTCAAAGCTGTGCCCACCACCACGAGCAGGGACTAACGGGGCAACAGCTGTGTCCAACAGCGCGCCCAGGTGCTGACGGGACAAGAGCTATATCCACCAGCACTCGCAGGAGCTGACGGGACAAGAGCTATATCCACCAGCACTCGCAGGGGCTAACGGGACAAGAGCTATATCCGCCAGCACTCGCAGGGGCTGACGGGACAAGAGCTATATCCGCCAGCACGCGCAGGTGCTGACGGGACAATAGCTATATCCACCAGCATGCGCAGGGGGTAACGGGACAAGAGCTGTGTCCATGGGCTGACGGGACAAGAACTGTGTCCCGAAGACACGGCTATCCGGCCTGAAAATGTGCTTAGTCCGTTCACACCAGTGGCTTCGTTGAGCCCGTTGGCTTTAAAACACGTTCAAAAGGATAAACTGTGGTGTCTAACTCGGGTGCCCCCTCTGTTCCAAGCCTTGCATTTTCGCTTGCTGTACCACAACCATAACCATAAGAATGGGGTCAAATGGCAACTGTCACTAGCGGGTCTTGGTTTTGTTCGGACGCGCTGACTACATAGAGCGTGTTTGATAGTCCATGCACATATTGACAGATAGCGTAGGCATGCCACACACGTTCGTGAGCACGCGACCAGGTGTGTGACTGGCCCACACGGGCAATGTTATCACTTCTGAGGTGCAGAGTGATAGTAGATGCGCTAGTCGAGCAATACGATCCTCACATCACGTTTACTGCCCTGTTGCTTTAGATAGTATAGCCGGTAAGAATGAGCCACACTCTTACTTTCTACAGTTCATTTATTATCATTTGAAATTATTTCATGGCTGACTTGGTTAAGCAATTTGTGTTGTGCTTGTAATGCAATACTTTCTGTAACGTGTCTGACAGAGCCTGTATTCAAACACAGGCAAACCTCATTGCAGCAATTTTCAAGCGATAAGTGAATCTTGGCTTTTTGGTTGTAACCCATTAAAGGGTTCGCACCATATCCCGTTTTGTGGGAGATTTTTCATGCGCTAGGTGGCAGCAGCCGCCACGATTTAAACTTACTGTTCCCTTCTTTGTGAGGCGCGAGAGTGGGTGTATTGTTTTTGGCGCCGCGAGCGTCCGGTGCTGGCCCCGTGACGGCCTGGGGAAAACTTCTGAGCTTGCAAGTGGGCGGTCGTGATGCTCTCTGGTCTCTCCAGCACGCGTCGTTACTGCATGCATGACGGATGTTTTGTGACCTCTCGGGGCACACAACGACTGGTTGCGGATAAACATGCCTCATCTCGGAGGCAATGTGCCGAGGGCGCGTCCACAAACATGTCGATGGACGAAACAACTGTCGCCAAGCAGAATTGCACGCTCCTCCGCGTATCATCCACTAACCGCTTCGCTGTGAGTTTGTAGGAGGCACCTCCTAACTGCTGAGCTCGAGACTGGAGTGGTGAGTGTACCACCTCTGACCTCAGAGGCACATTTGCCTTCACCGAACGGCACGCATATCCCTGTTGAACTCAAAGGGGCCCACGCACCTCCTACCGAACGATGCGCGCATCTCCTCTGGGCTCAGGGGGACCCACACCCCAATGAGTGGCAAGCTCATGTACCCTACGGAACCCAGAGGGACCCACGCTCCTATTGAACGACGTGCTCATCTACGTTGAACCCAGAAGCCCACGCGCGCCTTTACTGGGCGGCGTGCGTATTTTTCCGAACTTAAAGTGACTCGCGCCGCTGGTGAACGGTGCCCGCATCCCCGCCAAACTTAGAGAGAACCATATCCCTATAAAGCGGCATGCGTGCATCCTCACTGCATTCAGAGAAGCACGCGCCCCCTCTACTCGCTGAACTCAAAAGGGCCCCGTCCCTAGGCTACTGGGGGGAGAGCGTGTCCCCTCTGACCGAGCGATTATCGGCGCGCCGCGGCGCTCCCCGCTCCCCTCTCCGCAGCGGACGGCCGCACAAAGGGCGGGCCCGCGCGCGCCCGCGCCGCCGGAGCCCGCCGGAGGCGCCGGCAGTGGCGCCGGCGGCCGAGGACAGGGCGGCGGTGTCGCGCGCCGGCGCGGTGCTTATGCTGACCCACAAACCGTGGCAAACAGACAAGCACACGGCGGCCGCGGCGGCGCTTGTTGTGTTGCGGCGGTTGCGGCCCGCCTGCTGTCGACACCGGCGGCAGAGCGCGCGGCCTTCGGGTCGGCGCCGACGTCGGACTGGGACCGGTTGCCGGAAGAGACCGGCGGAGGGTCGCCCCGAATTGAACGCCGTGAATGACGGAGGTCGTCAGTCGATTGCGGCGAAGAGCAGTGTTGTTTGTCGTTGGTGTTTGGCGAGTTGTGTCCGGACGGCCTGGTCGCGGTTGCGGTCAGCAACTCGGCCGTCGGCCCTGGTCGGGGTCTGAGCCTGACCCGCGGGCGGAAGCTGTAGGCGAAGGCCCCGCCCGACCCATCACTTGCAGGTGAGCGTCCGGTCGTCTGGTCGCCGGCCACGGGTGCAGGCTGGGGGCGTGCACGTCAACCCCGACGATCGGCACCATCGGTACGGCAGAACTCTGCGGATGCTGCCCGGCACTAGCCGCCATCAACCACCGGTGTTGACTGGCACGAGCGAGAGAGAGAGAGAGAGAGACAGAGACAGAGAGAGAGAGAGAGAGAGAGAGAGAGAGAGAGAGAGAGAGAGATAGAGAGAGAGAGAGAGAGAGAGAGAGAGAGAGAGAGAGAGAGAGAGAGAGAGAGAGAGAGAGAGAGAGAGATCCGTCACGTGACTGTTTGTCCTGGGTGACCGGTTCGGCACGGCTTGACACGTCTCTGGACTCGTGACTTCAAGATAGAGCAAAGCCTACTTTAAATCCCCTTTCCACTAGATCGGTGTAAAGGGTCATTTGAGTAAGTGCCGTACATTCCGAAAAAAACTGGTCAAATGCAATTAAGCATACATGGACAAAATTGTGCAGTACCGTGTGCGTTGTATAAATAATGCTTCACCGCCTTCAAGAGCTCTCGTCTTAATAGGTCATGCTTTGCGTGATGCCGTGTACAGCAGCTACGTTCTGCATTTAGCAGTAAGTAATTCCATCTCTGCTACCCGAGAAAATCAAGTAGATAAGTACGTGAGTCAATACCAAAATTTTAGTGACATCACAAAGTGAACTTCTGAATTTAGGATGTTATGCACTGTTTCTTAATAACGGTGGCATAATTCGTCGAAACCATCTATCAGGTGCGTCCTCGCGTCCTCCTCAAGTCCTCGCATCCTGGTACTTTTGTGCCAGCCACCGCTGAATAGAAATCGCTCAATCACAGCTGTTAAACAAATGCCATTATTCCCATTTCGTGCGACAACTTAGATGATGTTGTGGACATGTGTTACGATAATAGCTGTGCTGTTACATCACGAGGTACCCACGAGATAACATCGTACCTCGGCGTTTGGAGGCGACCCCTCACGACTGGCGCGGAGATCTGACGCAATGGCCGACCTCTCCAGCGCCTCGTGATTTACTGCGTGTCAACGTCGAGCTGTGACCTTTGCCTGGTCTGGATTCGCTGCAGCTGGTAGTTGGTGACCCCGGCCCATGTGAGCCTCGTCCGCCCGGTCGATCTCGGACCAGTCATTGCTCTTTGTCGACGGCTGTTCGCGGATCGACGCGTTCTCAGGGAGATCGGCACGGCTCTGACGTAGCCGCCGTCTCAGCATCTCGCCGTGGCTGTGACGCTATCGCTACTGGCGGCTGTGCATGCCCAAAAGACTCCACGTCTTGTCTGGAGGCCGAGGACGGATAGTGCCCGCGATTACACGCCAAACGATGACGTTCTGCAGTCGATTCTGATTGTGACTCACATTGTATGACGCAGAGTCCTACTTTGACTCTGAGCAGTTCAGTGCGACTTTGCGTCGACTGCGATTCTGATTTAAGATACGACTTGAGTCTGAGTCGATTTCGATGGAGTCGATGCCGGTGGCGGCAGTTTGTGACGCCGTCTGTTCCATTTTTATCATTCACTTAAACCCAAATAAAGCATTTATCTTGATAATAGCACATCTCTTTGTCCAAATACCAGGTAAATGCAAATAATTTCAAAGAAATCGATTACACTCTGACACGACCCAAACTTGTTTGCCTCCAGGGTTCATTCGGACACGAGCAGTACTAGAGCACAAGCCTACCGTCGGACAACGTGTTGGCTGGTGCGAACCGAACGCTAGCCGCCAGACTGGCTTGTATATTGGTGTCATGCAGTGGCACGGAAAGACCGTAGGGTATCGAAGGGTTCTTTAGTGTCGACCGGACATCATACGTCAGGCTGCGCAGGAGCGGCTGGCTGCGTGCCCGGCTAAGGTCGAGCGGTGCAGCATGGCGCGCAGGCGCGGCTGTCTCGCCGACTGGTGTTACCAGGCGCGGATTCTGCCCGGCTGGTGTTGCCAGGCGCGGATGTCGTGCCGTCTGGTGTTGTCAGGCGCTGCTGTCGTGCTGTCTGGTGTTGCCAGGAGCGGCTGTCGTGCCGTCTGGGGTTGTCAGGCGCTACTGTCGTGCCGTCTGGTGTTGCCAGGAACGGTTGTCGTGCCGTCTCGTGTTGCCAGGCACAACTGTCGTGCCGTCTGGTAAGCGCCGTGCGTACGCGGTACAACAGCGCACGCAGGAGGGGCTGGCCGCATGCCTGGTGATGTCGGAGTACTCAGGCAGTACGTCGATATATGAAGTGTGGCAAGCGGAGTCGCCCGTCCTGGCCGTTCAAGGCCTCCTTACGCTGTAACAGTTATTTCATAGGACCAGCAAGAACAACCGTAAAAGGCTCATAACTTGCAGAGGTATTTTTGAGCACTGGAGTCTTCGTGCATCATAGAGAGCATGAATGCTGTTTTGATGATGCGTAAGTGTGACGAAACAACAGCGCTTTGTGTCTGAACTTCAAGAACGGTTTCGCAATTTCCGCGTTCTTGGCAAAGTATGAAAACTGAAAAGGGTTGGCGTGTTAACTACACCACAAGCCATGCTATTACTAACCGAGCTTTTCCAAGCAGCGTCTTACTCGGTCACCAGAACCTGCGTCCCTTTCTCAGCCAACGGGATCCTATGGACATCACGGAGAGCATGCAACGCTCGTAAGACTCGCTAGCGGACCCAATAAAAGACAAGGGCGTAGCGAGGATCTGAGCAGGCTCTCCCCAGAGGGATCCTCCTTTCCAATGAAAGTCCTTGCTAGGGGCCCTGAGGTCGGGCCCCTCCCCACGACTTTCTGGTGTTCGTCCGTCTTCGGGCAAGGACTGGACTGAGTTGTTTTTAATCGCAAAGTGCCCGGCGGCGCAGCATCGCCAGCACACAGGCGTGGATGACCTTGAACGGGGTGCCGACCTGACCGACCTCGGCCGAGCCCCGCTTCGATCTTGGGCCGGCGCGCTCGGACGCAGACTGTCATTGCCAGGGGGCCGTGATTGCGGTCACGGCCACTGCCACAGTCGGCCAGTGTCGGGCCCAGTCGGCGGGACTGGCGGCGCTCGGCAGGATGTGCGGAGGAGGCTCGGACTGTTTTGCTCCCGCTGGAATCAGACCTCACTTTTCCGGCGTCCTCTGTCCGTGGTCCAGCGTCTCTGCCGCGGTGTGCCGCGTCGTACCGTGCCGTACTCCTCCTGAATACGGTCTTGCATCCGCCTCTGTCGTCCGGCGACCGACGGCATCAGACACGGTGGGGATGTCGCCATGGCAACGCTTCTGCGCCATCCGCGCGTCGGCGCCGGCGGCAGCGGCGCCCGTGCCGCGTCGATCGCCGGCGGTGGGCGGCCGTCGGAGCCGACGCCGCGGCTGACGTAGCAGCGGTGCCCAGCGCGTGACGATGGCGGCGGCGCGTGAGCCGAGCGCCGGCCCGAGATGCAGCCGATAGAACAGGCCGACACTGCACCCAGCGACGATGACGTGAGTTAAGCGGAGCCCGGTGCTGGGTGCCGCCGCCGTGGTGGCCACTTGCGGGCAGTTGGCCCGAACGGTCCGGGCGGCGAAGGGTGTTGTTCCCTCCTGCCCTCGTACGCTCCTCGTATCCTCCGATGCGCAAAAGTAGGAGAGGAATTATAGTCCCCACCTTTTGAGGAAACGTGGGGATATCCCATATACGTGGGGACATGTCCGCTTTACGCGGATACGTGGAGAGAATCGACTTCCGAGAGGGGTTTTGAACACTCATACCTTGTGGGACATTTCCACATTCATGGGGTTCGACCCGTGCTGCGTGGTGTGTTTTACGGCCGAGCCGTATACGGCCCACGGGACCCGAGCAGGTGGTTCGTGGTGAGCGGCTGGAGTATTTTAGGACTTTGCGAAGGTTGCGGCTTGGCACAGCGAAAGGTTAGATTGGTTTGTGTTTTCCAGGAGCCGTCAGAGCCGTGGATGGCTCTGACAGCTGCCGTTCAGTGGAACGTCTAGCTGTGAAAATACAGATGTCCGACCAGGGAAAGCAGGCAACAGGTTGTTGTGGGAAGCGAGGATTTTCAGTGTTTGGTGAACAACGCATAGCTTTCGTTCCCACTGACCCATTGCAATTGTAATGCTGAGAACTGATATCAGCAGCGTGTTAAGTTCATTTCACTCCGGTGACATGCTCAGCGGCTGAAAGGTAAGGACAAAATGATCAAATATGCAAACATGTTCGAGAAAGACACAGGTGCACCATAGTTATCGTTCGATAGTCTTCACGCGTGACGTACGACCCGTGCCCAAAATTCCGCTGCTACCTCTCGAATGAATGAGCTCTATCCAAAAGCTCTAAAATGAGCTCTATCTCGAAAAATGAGCTCTATCCAAATTTCCATCGGCGCTGCTCTCACACAGCCGTGCAGGACACTAAGCCGCTTGGACTTCTGAAGTGCATGCTATTCACGCCATCAACGTGCAAAATGCGTGCCATCAACGCAAACATCGTGTATGTTTCGTATTTACCCACACATTCTTTGCCATCTCGCAGCTCAATCAAACGCCTCACAGCTAAGCTGGCGTGTCGCATTTGACCGACCACCTTACATTTCAACATGCATCTATATTTTTCGCCGTCTTACACAAGTGATCACACGCGCACACGTACACGTACGCAACACATGTTGCATGCATATGTACGCTCATTTGAAGAATGCATAAATGCAGAAGCCTTTAGTCAGGCTACGCTGAAACGAACGCATTTTGGTCATTTTGCCTACGTACATATGAGGCGATCAGGTTAGACACGATTAAATATGAAGACAATGGGCAAATTGACTTGGTCCAGATCATACTGATGCCGGTTTTCACGCTCCAGTGCGTATTGTGAGGCATCGGAAAACATGAAGTGCATCGAAATCAAGAACAATGTACGGCTTTGCTACACTGTGCACACTCGCCACGGTAATGCTGATGGGTCAGTTAATAATGATAAAAGATAGTTGAGAAAATATCATTCTAGACTACTCTGCGGCAAATGCGAATTAAGCATTTAC